TTAATATATACAAATTATTATAAAAAAAAAACTCATAAAAGGGTAATTCGATGGCAAGGTCCTATAAGCACTTGGGTTACCCTAACACCCGCAAAACTATATAAAAGTTAATGATTATCTGCAGAACCCAAGATTACCTTTCGCAGAAAGATGAAACTCGCTTTTGATGGCCATTTCTGGACAGGAGGGCCTACGATAACCGTTTAATTGCATATTAAAAGGGCCCAAATTGAGCACGTGTCTATATGTAACTGGTAAATGCAATTACTGGCGAATGCCTGCCAGTTGTTACAAAATTTAATTACAAACGTAAATGTTGAAGGATGTGTGCTCCCAGCTAGCTGGCAACATCATTAACTTTTCACAGGGCAGCCGAAGCGCTTTTCCTCCTACCGATTTTCCGACCACTTTTCCCCCTCCAAATGGAAATATCACCGCAGGCAGGATATATAAAATGCCATGTGTCCACAAGAAGGTGGCCTGCGGAAGGAGCAGCTCAAGCATATCGACGGATGAGGATGAGGACTGGGAAAGCGGCAGGACTACATTGAATCACCCCACTCCTTGCTCCTCTTCAGTCAGTACATATTATTTTTCAATTAAAGGACAGCTAGAGCTGCACTTCTATTCCGGGTATCCTGCTCGTATTTTTAAAATCAATTATGCAAATGACCGTTCCTATTTTCATAATCCACATCGTATAAGTAAGAGATATATTTACACATATATAATGGCCGCAACTACATAATAACAATTTGCATTCATGAGCACTTGTTGAAGAGTTCGTTAGCTCGTTCTGCTTTTCCATTGTTCTGGCCAGGCTGACGTCAGGATAACTCAGAGTGAGGAGGCACAATCCTGCGGGCGGGAGGAGCACTTGTCCCTGGGATTAACATCTTTATAATGCGGGCAGAAAAGTTTTGCCGCCCAACTTTTGCTCACATGCGCTCATAAATCAGTCTGCGAATATTGGAGTTTTTCAGAATTTCAGCAAGGCCATATGTTTGGAGCTGAGTGAACCAATTTTCTATTGAATTTTTAACAATTTACTGCGGCGATATATCAATCTGAACTTTGCCAATCGGGAATGTAGGTGGGATTTCCACGCTTGCGAAAATCAAATAAGTTTACGGGCGAACGGACTCAGCTCCTTTATCTCGTTTTCGCCCGAATTGGCAAACTTTTCATTAGCTAATGCCACTGGATGGCAATTAGCGGAGGGAGTCAGCTTTGTACAATAATCCCCGCCATTTCGCCCACTAATTCCAGACAATTTGAACTTTCGCGAAACGAAAGGGAAATCAAGTAAATTATGGTTTTTGATCCCAGTCTCATGAAGCTCTGGGCGCCTGCACTTCCCACAATAAATTCAAGTAAGCCCACTTACGCCGCCGAAACCATAACCATTCATTCATCAGGGATCCCTGGATCCCTGAATCCGTGGGTCTTGGCATACCTTTGGCTGCTGAGCCGTCGACTTCAAAGGCGTTTAACAGCAGCTGCTGCCGCTGCATCGATGGTATTTAGTAATGAGCTCCTGGATGGGAGCCTAAGCCATTCTGGCGACCATCCACACCGCGTTCAGTTGATACTTTGGCCACCTTACCCAGAAGAGGCCTTCGGAAACACATAATCGATGGCAAAAGGCAACGTCAGAGGGCAGAGTCCAGGATACCCTAACCTTCCACACGGACTATTTCCAAACTTAATCAATTAAAACAGAATATTTCATTTCCGTATGTTACTGATTCTTATTGATTATTGTTTATTGTTAAGAATAATTGAGTAGACCTTTACTATGGTATATGTGCAAGCAATTCATAAAACTCCCTTTGAGAGAGTATTCGTCATCGTTTGCTCTGCATGACTATACGGATTATATTCGCAGTGTACACACACACACGCACACACACACTAAGGTGGGCGTGACCTGTGCGAAATTCGAGCGACAGGACAACTGTCAAAGTGTCGACCCGACAGTCGTCTGGTTTTTCGGGGTTTAGGTGCTCTAGTCTCGTTTCGGACTCGTTTTGGGTTTGCTTTGCCAGCTGTCGACATTTGGCTAAAACACTGGGGTGACAACACTTGTGCGATGCTTGGGGTCAGAATATTTGGCAACAGGCATCACACTCTACTCCCCCATTTGACTAATTAGGCAGCCACATCGGTGGGTGGTGCAGGGAAAACATAGCCCTCGGACGTAAAGCTGCGAAAACAAAAATTCCATAAAATAGAGTCATAAAATGTAGTGAATAAGTTTTGTAGTCACCTGAACTGGGCTGAATTCAGATTAGAGCATGGGTTAATTAAGGAACCAGAAGCTGAATTAAAGCTAAATTATTCTTTAGGCCGCTTGTCCTGTTGACGATGTTCTCCAGCTAGCTAATATCCATTCCAGTAACATATAGATTTTAGCCTTGAATATGATGTATCCTATGCCGCACTAGATTGGCCATTATCCCTTAGAAAAAGAGGAGAACACTTCGGCTTCTGTCAAAACAATTCAGACCTCGTTCTCGGTAATATAAATTTATGTGCTGTGCTACGGCATGTGGAAATCCTATTTAATTGCCTAGGCAACCTACACCTGCATGGGTGGGTGGCCATTTCCATTACGCCCGCTGCTATTTGAAGCTCATCTCAGACAGTCTGCATTGCACTTCGTTTCCAATTAACCACGCTGCCATTTAAAGTTGCTGTTAGGCCACTTGTGGGAATTCAAAATTGGAAATACAGAGTGAATGAAGTGGGGAAATTGTTGCAGATTGCCGGGGCATCAGGGGTGTGGTATTTCACATACGAGCATCTGTGGCACGTGCAGCGACCAGATTGAAAGAGCTGATTTAGACTAACGTGGATGGCGACAAATTGTGGGGAAGACTAAAGTGGATTATAAGTCCCGTCGGGGCAGGAAAAAACGATAAATTACCCAGCTTGATGGCGAAAGATTCAAGTGAAGTTGCTGAAAGTATTGAAGATATTTTTGCCCACCTCATGTTCATAATCTGCATATTTTCAGAACTTTTCCCGCTTGAATACACCTCTTGAATGACACCCATTGTTTGTTTGGCCAGCAAAGTTGCTCAGCATATACTCGTACTATGTATATAGAAAACAAACAACCATTTTCCCAGATTTGTCATGCATCAAATACTGTTTTGTCCATTTCCATATGGCAATCCCATGTTGTGGCTTTATGTCGGATTTTCCATTCTCCGTCCATTTTGCGGCGTTATTAAAAAGTTAGCAATGCAACATGTTCTGCTTTTCCACCCCGCTTTGCCACACATCATGGCTACATTTTTGATGGTCAGCTGGGAAAATGGCTTTCACCTACTTTGGCCTACTTACACTGAAGCCAAGTTTTCCCTTTGCATTTTTCCAAGTTTGTGGGTACACAGTAGCCACATGCAAATAGCCATAAAGAACTTGAGATCCCTTATTAAGTTAGCCAGACCACTTTTCACAAACATGCTCAGCGGTCAACTGATGTTGCCACAATTTCTTGAACGGAAAGCGCAAATAGAAATGGCAAAGAAAATCGCTAATCAAACGAATTATAATTACGAGCCATTAAACTGGCCTATTGAAGGCTGAAAGACACTGTATATGTATATATATGTATATATGATATGTATATATTTATTTTTAGTCGTCACTAACTTTTCATATTTGAGATTGAATGCTGAGTTTTGCTTGCTTTTTTTGTTTATCAGTTGTCACAGTCCACTTGCAATGCTTAAAAAGGAAAACTTTTATAATTTTGTTTAAAATATGTATCAATTTTATGCACATAACAGTCATTATTTGAGTGAAACCATAATGAGAAATCGCTACTTTCATTTGTGCACTTAATGCATTGCTCTACAATAAATTGTTTTATTATTTTTTTATTATTTTTAAAAATATTTTCAAAAACTTTAATGTGTATTTTGCAGATATTAAAAAAAAGATCAGATGGTCCCTTTAGTTTTCCGATTCTATGGAGTAGTTTTTGTCATGTATGAAAAGGTCAGATGGAACTGTTAAATGATAAAACTACTCGGTTGCCAGAGTAAACATATTTTCTTGTAGCCCTATAATTCCCAACTAGTTCTAGTTGAGACTGTAAGGCATGTCTTCTAATTTAGAGTCACAAAATATTTCAAGTAATCTTATTTTGTGTATGTGTAGTGTATGTACCGGTTTATGTATGTATGTATGTATGTATGTATGTATGTATGTATGTATGTATGTATGTATGTATGTATGTATGTATGTATGTATGTATGTGTGTGTGTGTATGTATGTATGTATGTATGTATGTATGTATGTATGTATGTATGTATGTATGTATGTATGTATGTATGTATGTATGTATGTATGTATGTATGTATGCATGTACATATGTATGTAGTGTACGTGGTACTTGCACCAAGTAGTAAAAATTGTCTTAATTAAAGCCTGAAGAATGTTTAACTTGTTGTCGGAACACATAGTTATTGCCGCTTTCAATATTTGCTTAGGGAAAATATTTCCTTGCAGCCCTATAATTCCCAACTAGTTCTAGTGAAGACTGTAAGGCATGTCTTCTAATTTAGAGTTGCAAAATAGTTCAAGTAATCTCTCTTACCGGTCGAGCAGTGAGTGTAGTGTATGTGTTCTTAAGTGTGATTACTTGCAAGATCAAATTGGCATCCCTCTTGAACAAATAACCGGGCAAATGTTATTCATACAATTGTTTGAAATGTTATAATATTTATTTTAAAATATTTATTCATAAGAAATATTTAAAATACAATATATAATTATTGTAAAGAGGGCCTGGAGCCAGCTCTAGAGCCAGCCCGAAAAAATCGTGTGCAAAAAAATCGTATGGCGTTACGCATCTTATTATTCTAGTGTCTTTGGCTGAACCCTAAAAACTATATTTCGTATCAGGAAACTGAAACTGGCGTTTGACTTATCCTTCAAATGTTAATATTACTGCATTCTCGAAGTAACTTTGACCCATATGGACCATGAACCCAATCATACAGAAATATCGCAGGACCACTGGTTATGTGTTTCACATAATCAACCTGACCATTCTGCTGTTGCTCTGGACCGTATGCACCATCATCCTGTTTATCTACAAGCCTGAGGAGCTCACCAAGTCGATGGTCACCGTGCTGCCCAATAAGACGGCCTTCAGGGATGTTGAGCTGAAGCAGGACGCCGTGGGGATACAACTGAATGGGGCCATTAACACGTATCTGACGAACCACAGAGTTAAGACAACCAACTTTTCGGCCGTTGGAGTTCGATTGGAGTGGCGCGATCGGTGGATGAATCGGAGCTTTTTGCGCACAGGCATGTGGATGGTGTATATGTACACGGATAAAACGAAGTACCTTCAGGTGCACAGAGTTTTTCAGTTCTCGATTTCAGGATGGCACCATGAAAGGTCCTTGATCCAGCGCACTTTGCAATCTGATCGTGATCTGGTGAACTCCTCCTATGACTGGGCCATGGCGCAGGCGGTGATTTCATTCGAGAGCATGAGTAGGGATCCGGTGGGTCTGCTCTTGACGGTGGACAACACTCCGTTGGAGACCGGCTTGGGTATACTGTATGCCGCCTTTCTGATCGTCGGCCTCTATGCTATTATCATCTGGGACTCTGCGGATCGTATTCTAAACACCTTGCTGATAACATCTTTGTCCTTGGCCCTTCTCACCGTTTTGGGCGATAGACCCACTCTAGAAAAGATAGTGAGTTGGGTGGACTGGGAGACCATGATGATCCTGCTGGGCAATATGATAATGACATCGCGCATGGCGGATACCGGGTTGTTTGACTACCTGGCCGTGGTGGCCTATCGTATCTCCAAGGGCCATGCCTGGGTGCTGATCGCCCTTTTGGGCGCGTTGGTTGCCATGACCTCCACTTTCGTGGACAATGCCACTGTGGTGCTTCTCTTCTGCCCATCCGTCATACGATTGTGCGAGGCGATGGGCTTGAGAACCACCTTGGTCCTCATCATCGTAGCAATTTATGCAAATATCGGAGGCTCTATTACCCCAATTAGTGGGCCACCCAATACTATCATAGCGACCAATAAGATGGTGGAATCCGCCGGCCTGAATTTCGTTCGCTTTTCGCTCTTCATGCTCCCGATTGCTTTGATCTGCCTGGCGTCCACCTTTTGCCTGTTTTACTGGACAATGAGTAAGAAGATCTACATCCTGGACGACAATCAGGTGGAGCTAGCAAATAAGCGGCGAGGAAATGCCAGGCCCTCCTTCGATATTCAGCTGAGGATTGCCGAGCTGAGAAGGCAGCCAAGGAGCACGGTGCTCCCTCCGGCAGACAGCTACTTCGTGATCCTGGCAACCTTGGAGGCGAGCAATTGGGTACGCAAGAAGATGCTGCTGGTGCAATCCTTTCTGGCCCTGGGCTTTGCCGCCTTTTGCTTCATTCTGCAATCGATTCCCTGGACCATTCCCGGTGCCTCTCTGGGCTGGATATCCATTCTGGCCGCCTTCCTGCTGCTAATCATGATGAATCCGAAGGATCTCATCCAGGTCTTGGCCAAGGTCAATTGGGGCACAATGCTGCTACTCGCCTCTCTCTTCATCTTCACCGCGGTCGTTGACGAACTGGGCCTCATCCACTGGATGGGCTATTTGGTGGTGTCTCTGATCGTCCGAGTGGACGAGTCATACCAGACCATGGTTGGCATGCTCCTGATCCTCTGGCTTTCAGCCCTGCTCTCCGCCTTCATCCACAATGCGGCGGTGGCCCCCATCATGGTGAAACTCTGCACTGACATGGTCATCCATGATGAGGTGCAGATACGCCTACTGCCCCTCATCTGGGCCACGAGCATGGGCACCAGCTACGGAGCCAATGGCACCCTCTTGGGCTCCTTGGCCAACGAGTTCGTCTCGGTGGTGGGCAGAGCTTATGGCTACAAGATCACCTTCCAGTCATTCTTTGTGGTCGGTTTCCGCATTATGCTCTTCACCGTTGTCATCTGCTCGATTTTCCTAATTATTGCCCACTCAATCTTTGCCTGGCATTAGCTTACATTCCTAACTTTAATTTTTAACTTTTGTGTTATTGCTCTGTTTATAATAATATCCTATTATTGTGCAAAATACCAAATACAAAGTTTATACACATTTTGAAGATATATTTGTAGCTTACTAATATTTTCTGCCAAATTTGTTAGCCGCTAACTGCTGGCACCTCAAATATTTGCTGAAACCATTGAAATTGCCGTTTGGGGGAAAACAACATTTTCCGGCGAGCGGGGCAAATGCAAATGAGTTTCATTGTTTCCCAGTCAGAGGAGCCATCAGGTTTTGGCGCCTGGAAAACGCGTGAGTACAGGACATACACACATGCACTGAGAAGAACCAGTACTACGAAGCCATTTGCCAACACTCGCTTTTTTACCTGTATGATCCCCATATGACTCCATTTATACGTAATGAAGGAGTGTGTGGATATTGAACAAATTCCTCATGACCACATTCGAATTGTATTTAAAAAAGACAATACTGAATCTTTTGCTCAGTGCATAAACGCGTATCGATGCATTTGCACGCACATATGGGCGCATCTATATTATATCGCGTTTTCGCTGGCGTCTTTTGTTTACCAAATTGAATTTTTCATTACCGCCTGACCAAGTGTTGTTGTTGGGTTTTGCGATGCAGTTGGCGATGCTGGGTCCTTTGGACCCCCTGCGTAGAGCCCCCCTTGCCCTCCTAACACTCGGCTAACACACACGCTCTCGGTTTATAATTGGATTTTGATTCGTTTTGCATAAAAAGTATGCTAGCACCCAGACGCCAGACAATTCGGCGAAAACGCGCTGTATGTGTTCGAATTTTATGGCTTTCGCAGAGGCGTCGCTTTGTCCAGGACTAAAATCGAGCAAAAAGTGCGTGACCCAGTCGCAATAATAACGAAAAACATCTGGAACGGAACCCTTATTGAGCTGCTCCTTTTTTTCCGATTGGCGAATAATTTGACTGCATTTCTACTGGGTGGTATGTAGTATGGCTTTAGCATTTATTGCATGCCGCACAAAAAATTCATTCGAGTGTTGTATTTGTGAATTTACATATTGAGCTTACATGCGATGCTTATGCAGCTTCATTTGATTGGCACAAATAAGTCCAGTTGGGCATCGAGAAATGGGTATATGAAACATCAGTCTTCGGCCATATCAAGCAGATGTTGTTTAGATGACTTAGTTTATTATTTGGCATTTATTCATATCAGCAATTTAATATTGTGGCCAGAGAAAAACTGAAAAGCTGGCACAATGTGTAGCTTGCGGTTTGTGAAGATATCAGAAAAATCCCAAATGATCCTTAACAGTCAAGTGAAGTGAATTACTTATGAAAGGCATTTATTTGTGGTTACAATTCATGTCTTTTCTTTGTTTTTAAAACTGGAAGGTTGAGCCTACAGCTTTAGCTTTTAAATCCCTAGAATGTCCCCGAAGGAACATGGGTTTCCTTTACCCTTCTCTCAGTTTCCCCATTAGCCAACCTAAATAATGGCCAACTAAAAATGAGTCTACAAGGTTGCGAAACAAGTGGCTCGTAAGACGGGTTAATCTCTCCATCTAGTAGCCACTCACCCGATCCCAACCAGCTCATAAATCTGCCCCATCCACTGCGGTGGACACCATCCACTGTCCACGGGCACACCTTTCTAATGCCCCATTCTGTGAGGCATATTTAATTTTTTGGCCCAGTCGAGTCCTGGCGCCGACATGCGTGCTTTATTGGCCGTAATCCCGGCGAGGAGTAGCAGTGCCACCACGGGCACTTAGCACTCCTTAAGTTTTACAACTTCACGCTCAATCAGCCAACGCTGCCAACGGCTGTTGGCTGTTGGCTGCTGGCCATAAAAAGGAGCACCCCGAACTCAAACTTTAACCCGGACTAAGTCCGATGCGGATGTACTTTTTATGTATCTTTAAGGTGGCGTTAAAACTTGGGTTGGTCTCTTTTTTAGTCTATTGTTGTGGTTGGCCTGAGCCCAGAAAGCAAATAAATACGCCTGGGTATTCAGCTTTTCCAAGTCCCCTTCCTTTATCGGTAAACCGCCTTCCCTTCTGGAAACTGAGGTATATTAATGATGTAGAGAGATATGCAAAAATTAGAAACTTCTAAAAAAGAGGAATGTTTGATTACTGCTTATTATTCCCTTGCAGCTCAAAAGTTTTTCGTTGCTAATAAAATCGTCGTTAAAAATTAGAATAAAGATTTTTCTGATATAAAGTTTATCTACTGTTTATTGCTTACAAGTGTTTCCTCTTTGTGCTAATGTCAAAAAAGATTAAGGCCAAAACTTTTGGGAGAAAAGAATTCTTAAGCAGTAGATTTCACTTATTATATGGATTATTTAAGAAGTGTCAGGGAAGTCAACTAGTGACCTATCGGACTTCCGCCTTTCCTGTTTTTGTTTTCGTTCTGCGGTGGTTAACTATTTTCTGTTTTTTAGGACTGACCATTCTCGTGTTTCCCCTGGCGATGCTTTTATCCAAATTATTTTATTTGCGCTGGCAGAAATAATAAATTATGGCAACGGAAATCAAAAGGTTACTTCAGCGACGAGCGAGTGTGGCAACCAGAACAGACATATTTTGATACCCATTCTATGGACACCGATGCTCGCACCCTGATATATATATATCTATGTATAGTTGCCACGTCCGTGGGATTTGCAGGAGGGTTTCCGGGTGGATATGATGGCTATAATAAAGCATAACAAGCTTAAAGCGGGTGTCAAGTGGGTGGAAGGGCAGGTTGCTACACTCTTGAGGCTGTTGCAACCGTGGCAACAACAACTTGCACGAGTTGTTTGCTTTGTTTTATGGCTAATTTTAGACAATTTATGAAGTGTTGGTTATGCTTGATAAGAGCCTCAAGTGGCAGCGACAACAATAATAAACTGCGAGCAATTCATGCAAATGAACTCGGCTTTAAGGCCCGCCCTGCCACATTACGCATACGCCCCGTGATGCGCCACACATGATAAAGCCGCGTAAGCAGCTCCCACGCTGTCCATACATATCTACATGAATGCCTACCCCTCCTTCACGGCTGACATATGAAGTTGTTAATTTTCAGCAACAACAGCGCTCAGTTCAGTCTTCCTGTTTTCCTCAGTTCAAGGGGAAAAAGCGAAAGACATTAAGAATGCCTTTTTACAAGCATTGTTGACAAGAGTGACTGAAATCCTCATACGAATGTGTATTTTTAGCTTTCGCAACTTCTGCGATTGCCTAATGTTGCCATGTGGGAGGCAGGAAAATAAATGTGATGGCTTGGGAGCGTCAATTAAAAATTACCCACGGAAATCCGAGTGCAAATTAGGGTAAGAGTCATCAACATAATAAATAAACAATCGCAATGAATGAAAGCTAATCCAACAACAAATAAGCTTAATCAGAATTGCAAACACAAAGCAACTTTTTACATTTGTAATTAATTTGTAATCAAATGGAACCAAAACACTTAATAAGTGATAATTAAAAGAGTTCTGCGGAAATTAAATCTAGCAGAAGGGAGCTAAAGGCCAAATGAGCAAAAATGGAAAACACTAATGCAATTTCCAGCACAGCCACATTTCAAATTGGCCACAGCTCGACATTTACTGTTTACATTATTAAAAGTAATCAAATCATATTCCCCCTTTGCACCATGCCCCAATAGAGATGGCTGATGGCCGAAAGCGAGACTCTTTAATTATTCAAATGAAATTCTAAATAAATTGATAGGCAGCAGTTGGCAAGTGCTGTGTTGTGTTTTCCACTGGAGTGGCGACAATTTTGTTTCCCAACCAGTGGCACTTTCAAAACTTTATTTGTCTGGCTGCTGGCATTTTGTGGCATTTTATGTGGTCCTTCCGGAATTTCTGTCCCCCCCAAAAAAAGGAGCATTAATGTGGCAACAGCTTTAAGCTGCAAATCCGTTTACGCTTACTAAGAGACTGGACCAAGCCCAACGAATACCATCAGCTTGTAATTTTGACTTTTATGGTGTTGTAATAGAGCCATAAAATTGCATTGTTTTGATCCCTGTCAGCCAGGAAAATGTTTTGAATTATGTACGATTTTATTAATGGCCCACTGACAGGATGGAATGGAGATGACTATTGATTTATGGAGGCACGGCGGGAATGCTCGCTGCATCTTATCCTCGATGCAATGCACTCGCATAGTTGGAAATCCAATTAAAAGTGCCTCGAGCTACAGCCATTCAACTTAATGAACTATTTCCTTTGGGCTCCAATCAAGCAGCTTCACATATTTCAAAGCATACGCACAAAATATGTTCATCTCAATGTTTATACAAAAATGCACTGGGTATTCAGCGTATTTAACATGGGTTTGAATATTTAATAACACGTAAGAACTTATAAATAAATGTTTAGTAAATGTTTATAGATACTCGTAAATTTCCCTTTAAGGAGCTGCCCCGAAACAAGTTATTCAAGTCAATCAATGCGGTGCGTAAGGGGAATTTATTCCATTTTACAAACTCGTATCTAGTGACTGGTTCAATGAACCGCAACGTAAGCCCTTCGCTTCCTGGGAGCAGGAGGACGAAATCTCGTCGAGGCATCCACTATCCCGATCCCGCCATGGGTCACTCCAACACGCGCCAAAGTTTGTCAACTTTAAAATGCCGTATTCCCATTCGGCTTGGCTCTCTACTTAAGCACGCGCTGGCAGGGAAAATGTTTCAGCAACTTTCAACTTTGACATAATGCAAATTATTTGATTTCGCTTTATTGTTTGTTTATCTCTGCGACTCGGCCATCTGTAAGTTTGGTAAGTGTTTAATTTGGTAAATTCTTGGGTGGGGTAAATTCAGTCTGGGATGCGGACCTGTCATACATTTTAATAGCCACGGCACATAAGCCACTTGCCTTTCTGCGTGGGATGGAGCAGTCGTGGCCATGTCAGACCACAAAACAATTTAAGTTACAAACATTGAAAAGTTTCCTAGTTCTATTTTCTATTCTATTTGTCGCACAACAAAATCGCAACAGCCGAAACTTTTTCGGGTGGAAACGAACAACTTTTCAGCTTTTTTTATCAGGCATTTTCGAGGGGACTTCCTGGAATCCCCCTGCTGTCGACTGGTCATCCCCCATACGCCCCATACGCCCCGTATGCCGTGGGCGAGACTCGTTTCTGTCAAATGCTGCTGGCACACAGGGCGTATGATTGACATCGCCCCTCACAGCTCGACAACTCAGAAGGAATTCAATGATTAGCTCACTTCAGTGAACCGCTCATCCATTGACTCCACTTACATTATGGTGCTTCATTTAATATGTTTGGACGTTGATTAATTGTCTGTACATATTTCTTGTGCCTTTCGTCCTGGCACAACGGATGCTTTGAACAGTCATTTTCCAAGAAAGTGTCCCCATCTGAAATCATTTCACATGCTCTTCTGAAGTTTAAAGTTAAATTTATTAATTAATTTTAAATCAGTTATATTTATAATGTTACATATATATTTTTTTACAGTTCGTAAAGCTAGCTCGAAAATGTTCAGATTTCTATAACACTATCCATTAATTTTTCACCACTTTTACCATTTTGGATTTGGTTTATTTCGGGGTTTTTCTAAAGTTTCTGTTGACAATTCTCAGATGTAGTTTCTGCATTCAGCTCTAATACAAGGTTTAATCGCAGCCCACTAATTACCTATGTGAGTGGGGATGCGGCGAGAGTCAAAATATCATACAACTTAGGATCTCTAAACGGTATAGCGTAAGAATTTAACAACAAATTAATCATATAACGCAAGATAGGTAAGCGGGGAAAAGGGGCGAAGCTAGAACAAAATAGGCTTATTTCACTCGAAAATATCCAAATCCTTCCGTTTTGGCAGAGCAATAGATACTAAACAGAGATATATTAGCAGCAGGAGCATCTCCACGACGAAAAAGCACAGATACTTCAACATCTTCTAGTGACGTCCTTCTCCTTGTCGGGTGGAAATAAAAATCTTCAAATAGAAATTGGACATGCTTTAATTGCGTAAGATAAAAACACAAAATAGCCATAATTTTCAATAAAATGTCAAAAATGTAACAATAAGATTTTTACAAGATAAATTGCCGTTTACAAAACCTAATAGCCTGCATGAGCTGATAATTTATTGATTCCCCACCTGTCGCACATATAAGAGCCTGAAAAGCCTACGATTCGCACCTGGTCTCGTTACAGAAGTTCAGCCAACTCCTGCTCCTGGGCCAACTGTTCCCGCTCTCGTTCACGATCTCTCTCCTGGTTCTCCTTCAATTCTCGGGCCGCCCGCTGTTGCTCCTCCTCCTCCTGCTGTTGTTGCTGCTGCTGCTTTTTGCGGTGCTCATAGTTGACCAGCCTCTGACCCACCAGATACTTATCCACCTTGATGGACAGGTAGAGCTTCTTCAGCTGCTTGATCTGGAACAAAAGGAAGCATATGCTGCCCACCACAATGAAGCTTACAGGATACACGAGCCTGGCGACAGCATGTCGCGCATAAGCGTCGGCTAGGAAAATCGGGAACATCATATGGGCCATGACATAGGGAATGGCCAGGGCCAGGCCAAAGGTAGTAACGACCGGCACAGCCAAGTCCCGCATCACAAACTTCAAGTCGAAATCACGCAATCCGTCCATGTAGGCTCGTTCCAATGCCCGCTTTAAGTGCCAGTCCGGACCCATTAGAGTCAGGGCGATGGCTATCTTGCTGTAGAGCACTCCCAGCGCCCAATCCTGCCATAGGAAGTGGATGGGTGTCTTGCGCAAAGGAACGCGTAGGGGAATGACCACCACCAACTCGAGCAGCAATCCAAAGAGCAATGGAACAAGCACAAAGATTCCCAGGAGTGTTAGAACGGGCAGGGCATATTGCAATGCCACTCGGGCCCAGTGCTTTAGTTTGTTGACAACAGCCGCTCGGCCTTGTGGCAGCAGGGTGACGACCACTGCTACTCCCCGGCAGACAATCAAGCACAGGTAGCCTCCAATCTCAGCGGTGTACAGCTCATGCGAGCGCAGTAGGCGCTCGTTCTTTCTGGCTCCCTCCGGATCGATTGGAGCTAGATTTTCAGCCACTCCTACCGCTCCTGCTGCGGCTGCCGCACCCGCTGTCTTTTCTACCGGCTGGCCACTCCAGAGCATCATCAGCCGCCGACCAATGTAGACCGGAACCGTCAGCGTTAACATGGCAGCACAAACGATGGACAAGCACATAAGTGCCAACAGGGCACACAAACGGAAAGCGAACAGCGATGGTTTGTCGTACGGCTGGAATCCCACGGGTGCATCCCGCTGCATGATGGCCTGATGTGCGGCGGCCAGGTTTCGTGGTGCAGGCGCCGGTTCCACTGGTGGTGGCGGTGGTGGTGGTGGTGGCGGTTGGGCTGCCGCTCCAGCTTCCGCTGCCTCGCCTTCCTGGTTTCCATTCTCCCCCGCGGCATTCTCCACGTTTTCTTCGCCAGGAGCGGGACTCTCAGGTTCTGGCTCTGGTGCTGGAAGCAGGTAGCTTCGAATGCCCAGCAACCAGGCAACTGCTGTGCACCAAATACGTAGCAAGCCCTTCAGCCAGATGCGTGTTTGGGTCTGCTCAAAGAAGCCCGGCAAGACGATCTAGAATGGCGATTTTATTGTTAGTCGCTTAAGTTATTCAAATAAGTGGTTGTGTAACTTACCTGTAAAAGCAGCAGTTGCAGGCTAAGATCGTTGACCTCTGCATCGCCACTAAGTGCATATGGCAAGAAGTTCGGCCAAGCCACCTGCAGAATTCTAATGGGCAGCCAAAGCATTAGGAGCACAGCAAATCCAAAGATCATAGCTGAAGCGACCAGCCGCCGGATGTGTCTCACAATCGGTACGTGGATCATTTCCTGGATGGGACTGAAGTCAGGATCGTTGACATTACGGAATATCCAGAGCACTCCCGGTCGCAGAACCTCACGCAACAGCGATATAAAAGCAGCGAAGTAGTACACGTAGACCATGCCAAACATCCAGTGGACAAAAAGTGAGGTTCCCGGAGCAGCCTTAAAACTCGCTTTGCGATCCTTGAGGCTAGCATCCAGTAGAGGCAACGAACAGATGTCCAACCACCAGCCGCAAATGAGCGGGAGCACTCCGATCTCCAACACCGACAGCAGCGACACCTTGACCACAATATAGCACAATCCAATGAACCAGCAGACTCGCCGCAAACGGAAAACCCTGGCGAAGAAGTGTAGCACTACCAGGGTCAATCCAATGCAGCAGTAACCGAACAGCGTGGTAATCAGGCCGTGAAAGTGCAGCAGTGGTTTCTCCGGCTGCAGAAGATCCATGGAGCTTAGGATAAAGTTGCCCACGCAGTAGGGACAAAACGCGAAGGTGAAGATGAACATGGTGTTCAGCGAGATGATCCAGAAGACGTGCTCCAGAAAAACTAGCGATCCATCGAGTCCGAGCAAGCGTTCCCAAGTAAGCTCCTCGGCAGCCCGATCCCACTCCATGGGATTCCAATTCTGTTCATCGGCATCGGCGTCCACAACGGGAGCTGCTGCCGCTGGAGCAGCATCCTGGGCCTGGGCTTCCTGTCCTTCATTGTCATTGCCAGCTGGAGCTGGCGCTTCATTGGCGTCGGCGATGTCGTTGTTTTCGTTCAGAACTACGGGATCGGGCGCAGGATTAGCAGCCGCTGCCTGCATTGGGGCTTCGTCCCGCTCCAGCCAATCGGGTCCGCCGCCGTGCAGGATCTGCTCGCGCAGCCAGACCAATCCTATGAATGACAAAAGCGTGCAGGTGACAACAAAACAGCCGCGAAAGGCATCCGCAGCTAGGTTTTCCATGGAGAATATGTCGAAGGGCAGCGTGAGAATCATATCAAAGGAGCTCGCCCGGAACAGGTACCGGTAGGTCCTGTAGGCAGACAGCGGCACAATTCCGAACCAGGCCAAGCCGACCAGAGAGTAATGAAGCCAGCAGCGGGCGCCCTCCAAAACGGCGGACATCAGTCCCACAAGGACATCTTTTAGCGGCAGGACTCGCGGCATATCCGGAGCGTAGATGGGCTGGAAGCTGAAGCGGTAGCCGCACAGCTCGCAGTATTCCTTGTGCGAGTAGCGCATCCATTGCATCAGACAGTCCTGGTGGATGTACTTGATCGATCCCGTGCATATGCACGGGTAGAAAAGCGGCCTATCCGGCTGTGCCTCGCATCTGCACACGCGGCATATGTCGCCCTGCGACAGGTCGTCCATCCTGATCACTTTTTCCCGGATCCTTGGCCTTCAATTGGACTGAAAATCTAAAGATCCATTGGCCATTTGCGCAATTTGCTAGGCAATTTCCCTAATTGACCCGAGGGTACGGGGGTTCTCAACCGTTTCTTCCCGCTTTTTATGTACGCCAATTAACCACTCGATTACTACGGACCGTAATGCGAGTGTAACACTTGAATTTTAATCGAAAAGTTTTAATATTATTACGACAAACAAAATATGGAGCCCACTTCACAAAAAAGTTGAGCCGATGTGTGCACACCACGAAAGTTATGATAATCTTCGCAGCGGAGATGCCACCTAGTTCGATAGAATAAGTGCAGGGAAAATTGTTTATTATTTACACCGAGTACAAATTCATAAAGTTGAAACCCAACATTTACATAGTTTTGTTCAATAAATATATAACTATTTAACATTATAATACTGTGACAGTGACTGAAAAGTAACAGTTTCATTCACAATGTGTACACACTTCATTTGGCATAACAATCTGGCAACTCTCCGCCGCATTGTTGTTGTGATTCTCTTGTCATTATTTTGCAATCAATTGCTGAACAATTTTGCACGGAAGAATTGTGGAAAATAAGCCATGCAGCGACAGATCATCAATCTCCTGGGACAGACGACGCGTCGTCTGGTTAGCGGCCAGCAAATCCGCATGTTGTCAGTTTCTTCGCCGCGACAGGAGATCTTCAAAGTCCAGAGCGCCGAGGACTTCGACAAGAAAGTAAAGAACAGTCAGCAGCCCGTGATTGTGGACTTCTTCGCAACGTAATTTTCATCATTTCCATTTCAAAACATGACAAATTAATGTTAATCTTCTAATATACAAGATGGTGCAATCCCTGCAAGCTGCTGACCCCGCGAATCGAGAGTATTGTCGGCGAACAGGCCGGTTCCATCAAGCTGGCCAAAGTGGACATAGATGAGCACAGCGAACTGGCTTTGGACTACGATGTGGCCGCCGTACCCGTCCTGGTGGTGCTGCAAAACGGCAAGGAAGTTCAGCGCATGGTGGGCCTTCAGGATGAGGACAAAATCCGTGCCTGGGTTGCCGCCGCCGTCAAGCAGGCCAAGTAATCCCAAAGAAATCAAAAAAAAGGAGGTTGACCTCCTCGCAAATAAAGCAGAGCTTTAGGTTAATTCGGACTTTCGAAATAAATGTTTATATACCCGTTGAAACGATGAGTACTAAGATTACAGACTAAAAACTAAATGGAAAACCAGCCTGGAGTGCCGGGTCGCTTCTTGTTCCTGTCCAGAAATCTGCGGAAACCGGCTTTCGATTCATCCAACGCCTTTTCCTCCTTTTCCTGCTTCTCAGCCTTTTCAGAGAAGAAGTCGGGGAAGACAAAGGACTCTTCCCTGGGCTGGAATAAAGAAATATTATAAAGAATATCCATTGTATCACGGAATTGTAAAATGCCATACCAATGTTACATAAGCCAGCTTCACGTCGTCTTTTTTGGTGATATATCCGTAGGTCTGATCCTTCTTGGTCTCTCCCATGGCAATTCGAGTACGCACATCCACCACTGGCAGTTTATAGATCTTCTCAAGATAGCTGCGCACATCGTACTTGGTCATCTCCATGGACACCGAAAAGGTGACCACATTGGGCGGCTGCTCCTCCGTGGGACGGATTAGCTTCATCCAGAAGTTGGGCAGGAAAACACGCAGCTGCGGATTGCCGCGCTGGTAGATGGGATACCATCTCGTGGACATGGTGGCTCAGGATCTGCGATTCTTATTCAAGAATCAAAAAATTAAATTATTTGTTTTCCGGTTATTAAATGCACTAAAAAATACTAAAGGCTTCGGGCGGAAACAGGCGTAGCAAAGGGGTCGAATGGACATTTAATAAGATTGTTAACTAATACTTAACGCATTTATTATTGCGTCAGCTTTAAAATGTTCAACATAGTAAAAGGTTTAAAATACAATAATATAACTATTACCTTTTTATAACCGATATTTTAACTACACCCGTGTCAAAACACGTGGGTTGTCCAACACTTGTTCAGAACAGCTGATTGACCATCACAACAATTGTTAAATGCGGTCTGGTTGAAATCTCTTGTATATGCCGTCAAAATGGCAAAAATAAGGAAGAAGGAGGCCAAAGCTAAGCCTTTAACCCGCAAGGAGCAGAGAAAGCAGAAGTCGGAGGTCAAAAAGCAAAATAAACGGCTTTACTTTGCCGGCAAAACTAACGGCACCCAGCGCGTGGCCGCGGCGGCAGAGGCGTTGGCCGCGCAGTCACTGCTGAGCAGAAACAAGAAGAAGAAAAAGAGCAAAAAGCCGAAAGTAATAAATCCAGATGAAATACCCAAGGAGCAACTTTTATCCGGTGAAATAGACAGCGACGATGACGAGTCCATAGACTCGGATTTCAGTGATGCGGAGGTGGATGCTCTAATGCCCGAAAGGGAAAAGGTAGTAGTCTACGAGCCTCTGGGAAAGACGTTGAAGAAATCGCAAGGAGGGGCCATCCAAAGACAGGATGAAGAGGCGGTCAGGCGGAAGGAACTACGCCAACAGAAGGAACTGGAGAGCAAGTCCAAGAAGCAGCGACTCAAGCAACTCCGCATAGAGAACGAGGAAGAGGATCGCGAGATCAACAAGCTGGAAAAGAAGCTGAAACTCAACAAATCCAAGGACAAAAACCGATTGGTGCGGAAGATGTTCAACGATGGCCTGGATTACCTGCTCGACTTTGTCCTGGATGACGAGGAGGAGAAGCAGAAGTGGGAGGAGAAGCAGGAACGCAAGAAAAAGCTGAAGGAGCAGCAAGAAAAGGAGGAGGCGGGAATGTGGAGCGATGATGAGGAGGGGGACGAGGAGGACATGGATGGACCCATGGATAACGCTCCAGAAGATGACAGTGGCTCTGAGGGTGAAGATGATGATGAAGATTTAAGCGGAGAAGAAGAACAAAGCGAAGAGGATTCGGAGCAGGAAGAGAATGCTCCTAAGAGTGAGTACATAAACGAGGAACGAGGTGTTTATCTAATTTAAAAATTATTAACAGTTAAAGAGGACATTTACGGACGCAAACGGGATGCCGAGGGAAACATTCTGCCTGATCCCGTGGAACTAGAGGCCTCAGCCGCCGGCCAGAAGTACATACCACCACATCAGCGAGCTTTAATGGCCGCCAGCGCGGGATCTAGTGAAAAACAGGCAGAGCTACTAGCTCGTCTTCTAAAGCAATGCAAGGGTCTGCTCAATCGCTTGTCAGAAGCGAATCTACACAAGATTGCTGCCGGCATCGAGGAGCTCTACATGAAAAACTCCCGCTACAACATGAACGAGACTTTGACCAAGTTAATTCAAGAAGCCCTGCTCGGCGCCACGCGAACCAACGAGCGAATGGTGCAGGAACACATGGTGTTGTTGGCCTACCTACATGCCCAGATTGGCAGCGAGATTGGAGCACATTTCCTGCAGACTTTTGTGGAGTTATTCGATGGTTACGTCAAGAACATCGCTAGCCTAGAGGTGGAGGATAAGCAGTTGAATAACCTAGTACTGGTCCTCTGCTACATGTACCTCTTCAAGATATACGAGCTGAGTTTGCTGATGGAGCTTATAGGCAAATTGGCAGATCAGCTTTGCGAGAAGAGCGTGGAGTGCCTTTTGCTGATCTTCCAATCCATTGGCTTTCGACTGCGCAAGGACGATCCACTGGCTTTTAAAACCATGATGCAAAGAGTTCAATCGCAGATTGCCAGTGCCCCACTGGAACTGAAAGAGAATCCCCGCCTGCGTTTCATGGTTGATATTCTAAATGCTGTCAAAAATAACAATATGCAAAAGCTGCCCCAGTATGATCCTGAGTTGGCGGAGAATCTGCGAAAGCGTCTGAAGGCTATGCTAAAAAATGATCGCTACGTGGTGACTCTGAACATCACCCTGGAGGATCTCCTGCGTGCTGATAAGGTGGGAAAATGGTGGATTGTGGGCTCCGCCTGGACGGGAAATCTGGATGAGATGGGTTCCGCCAAGCAAAAGCAGGATAAAAACTCATCCAAGTCTGCAAATGGAGGCTTTGCGGACCAGTTACTGGAGCTGGCTAGAAAACAGCAGATGAACACAGCTGAAAGGAGGAATATCTTCTGCATCATAATGAGTGCCGCCGATTATGTGGACGCCTTTGAGAAGATACTGCATTTGGCTTTGAAGGATCAGCGAGCGGTGGCCTACGTGATCATCCATTGCGCTCTGAATGAGAAGCGTGCTAACCCTTACTACGCTCATTTGGCCCTTAAATTCTGTCAATTCAACAGAAAGTACCAACTGGCTTTCCAGTTTGCCAGTTGGGACAGAATCAATGATATTGAAAAGCTTTCCAAGCCGCAGATTCGCAACCTGGCCAGTTTTCTGCAGCAAGTAATCCTAGCTGCTGGTCTGCAGCTCTCCGTGCTCAAAGTGGTGGACTTTATGCAGCTGGACAAACTCAGCTTTTACTTTATGAAGGAAGTGATGGTCAGGTTACTTTTGGCAAACGATGAACGGGAGATTTACCAGACGTTCGAAAGAGTGGCCAAAAACACCAAGCTGCAGCAGTTTAAGCAAAGTGTTAGGCTCTTCCTGCAGCATTTTCTTTTAAAAGAGGATCAGCTGGACAAACTTAAGCTGAAGGACGAGGATCGGCAGCTTCTGCAGCAGCGAGTCGATCACATAGACAAACTTTTGGCCTATGTGGATCTGTAATTATAAGTAAAGTTATAATGCGACCTTATCAACGTGTAAAATAATATTTTAACTTAGGAGAAAAATGGTTTTTATGCTCTTAAGGACGTTATTTTGCATCTGGGATGCTGTAAAGCAAAGTTATAAATATGAAATCATGAGCAAGTTTTTATAAAAAAGGCATGAGTCATTTATTTCTAAGGCAAACAGTAACAACTAACAATAATCTAGTCGAAGCTTTGGAGAAGATCGCGTGCCCGCTGGTACCGTGTGGACTCGATAAGTTTCTGCCGTTCGGCCTCGTCCTCTAGCTTTTCGCCCTCCTTGTCCAGTTTTTGGATCACCTCCTCGGCCAACTGACTGATCTTCGAGCGCGCTGCTCCCTGGGAACTGGCCAAGTACTCCAGAGCTGTGGGCCACAGCTCCTCATCCAGTTTCTCCTCATCAAAGGCAGTTTGCTGAATGGAAATCTGCCGCAGTTTGTTGAACTTCCACTCCTGGCGGGATTCCTTCCATTTTAATAGGTATTCCTTGTTTACTTTGGCTTCTTTGTTGGAGTTCTGACTCTTTTGGGCCTCGAGGCGCTGCTGGTGCTTCTGCTTCTTCTTCTGACGCACGGTAACCACTGCATTAGCGTTCTCCGGACGAGCTGCTTCTTTTAGTTGTGCTGCTGTGGGTTGGGAGTCCTCGTCGTCGTCGTCGTCCTCCGAGTTCGATTCCTGCTTTTTACTGCGTTTCAGCTTTTTGCTTTCGTTTGCTTCCTGAGCATGTTTTCTCTTGTGAGGCTTCTGTTGAAGACTTTCCTCGCTTCCACTGGTGGCCACCTGCTCCTCTGCTTGGTTTTTCTTGTTGCGTTTCTTTGTGTCCGAGTTATCGGCTCCTTTTTGCCGCCTCTTTGCGGGTTTATCTGTAAATGCTGGTTATGTTACCACGTAGCTATATAGATTTAGGCTGTAACCCACCTGTTTGAGCCTCCTGTTCATCTACCTGTGGCGCTAGAATCAGACTTTTGTTGGCCACCTCGTCGTCGCTGGCCGCATGCTCGGCGTTCTCGGCCACCTCGTGCTTGCGTTTTTTGCCCTGGCGCTTAGTCTTCTTCTCCAGTTCAGTGCGGGCCATTTCAGAAGCTTATCGTTCAAAAAGCAACTTTTTACTCCAAGTTATTTAAAAGAAAATTTAAAAAACCTCTGTAGTTGCAAACAAAATGTGTTCTGTATGGCGTTGCCAGACTGGGCCTGAATACCGCCGTTGACCAACACTAAAAAGTGGGTAAGCAGTCTGGCAGCCACCTCACCATATGACTAATCACAATCGATCTGGCAACGGCGCCAAACAAATGCCAAATTTTAGCTTTCGTTTAACAATAAATAATAAAAAGAAAACAAAGAAGCTATAAATCATAAAAAGTGCATTTCGCGTGTGTATGGGCAGTGCCTACGCCATCCCACCGTCTTTTTTTAAACGTATTCGCGAAAAAGTAAACGAAA